ACATATATAATATATATATATATATATATATATATATATATATATATATATATATTGCTAATTTTTAATGCTCCTACCGAAGGCCCGTGCGATCGTCGTCGTGGAAGGAGGTCTTTGCTGGGTAATTTGTAGCTTTGTAGGTCTGCTAACTTCTTTTTTTCATTCGCCGTTGTTCGCGACTGTTCCCCATTTATTTTTATTTTTGTCTGGGATGGCGACCCCATCTTTTCTGCAAAGTTCGGAAAGTATTTGCACGGTCATTTTTCTCGTTACTTTTTGTTCTTGTAACGCTGCAGAGGCTGGTGCGCTTGCTCTGGTAATTTTAATATGTTGCTTGCGCACGTTTTAATAATCACCTATTCAGTTAAGAAATTGTGACAATGCAGTTTGTAACGGATGAACAGTAACCTGTTACGACGTAGTTCGAGTAGCTAAACGCCCTTTTTCCGCTTCCCAGATGCGCTTGAAAGGCGCGTGATCCCCCTGTGTGACGTTTGAGACGTACCTCTAAACAAACTGATATATCTTTGTTTATGCGCGCGTTGTTATTTGTCTGTCGCTGCAGTAGCGATCAGTGGATTTCGCTTTGCATGCGGACTGACCGTAATGAAATTTTTCTGCTGTTGGGGTGACGAAATGGGGCACGCAAAGCTCGAGGACGTCGCAGAGCCTATACTTTTCCATTGTGTCGTCTGCTTCCGTAGACTCCCGAGTCCACTAGAGGCGCCACTGTCACGTTCGCCGCCGCTCCCATAGGTTTTCGGAGGAGTTTTTAGTATTGGCGAAGCTATATCGTATTTGGTATGGCCCTCACTCTCAACTTTAGTCTCTTGAATAGCGACTACGCCCAAATAATGCTTAGTGAGCAGCCGGTACAGCTGCAGTTGCCGACGCTTAGCCGCGATTCCCTGCTCGTTAGGCGTAGCAACACGGAGGGAACTTTAAAGAGTCACTGTCATCGAGCAAGTCAAGGACTTTCAGCATGGCTCTCACCTACTGGCACGCCAGAAAGCTAGCCACTGTAGCCCTTGAACGTCACTGGGACTGCGAGTCGCCTCGGGGAAGCGACGACGTACTACCATGGCTGCTTCCCGGGCATACTCTCTTAACACTAAAGCTCCGGCTGCTCGACAGGCTCGTTTTGCGTCTCTAACGACTCGTTTAACCGCCTCTTGGCAGTATTGCTCTCCATGTCCATTTCGTCCATGTTGTTTTCAACCAGTGCAGTGTTCTCGTCGTACGTGGTCGATGCCTGCTGCGCTGTCACCTTCTCGTCGCCGTCAGCCTGGCCACTGAGACGCTCCCCCGATACTGGGGCCGCGGTGAACGCCTTGTCTTCTTGACTTCTCGGCATCTTGCTGGTCTTGACGCTCGCTGCTCGGGTATTCCGTCGTGGAAGCACCGGAGTCGACGGCGTTGCCGCCTCCTCTGCGTCTCCTTTGTCCAGGGCATGGGTCGTGCTCTCGTCTTCAGGGACTTGACTGGCGGCGGCTCGGGCGTAGGGTTGCACACAGTCTTGGGTCTCGTGCCCGAACGTACGACACCTTTCACGTCTGGGCGCCTTGCAATCGCGTGGTATGTACAGTGCGCCGCAATATGAAAGACCCACTGGGAGCGCGTGGCCGAGGCGGTGGCTGGCGGGGGCGCTGCGAGCGCTCCGGGCAGTTCCATTCTGCTTCGAGGGGCGCGCGCTTATCAGTTTTGTACTGAGCCCCGAGTGAGCGTCCTCCCCTTGAAGCAGAATGGAATTGCCCGGAGCGCTCGCAGCGCCCCCGCCAGCCACCGCGTCGGCCACGCGCTCCCAGTGGGTCTTTCATACTGCGGCGCACTGTACCTGGTGCGTTTGCATCAAAGGCATACCGGCGCCCTCCCGGGTGCCACGACAAGCATAGTGCCGCATAGAAACGGAGCTGATGAGGCAGAGACTCGACCGACATGTTGTCCTGAAGAACCAACCGAACGAGGGCGGTCGTTGAATTGACGTCCGTCAGGCCCTCGACCCGCCACTCCTTACGAGTGAATCATTTTACTTCGCCTAAAGGCTCGAAGGTCCGGCGGATGTCTTCGACGGATAAGTCAAAAGCCACCCAATGGACCCTGACCTTCAACTCCTGCTTAATGGGGCCGATAACAAGGCAAAAACGGTCTTTGAAATGTCGGTTTCCTGCCTTCAGGAGCTTCTCTTGGGCCGCAGCCGTGTAGAGCCAGACGTGCCCAGCAGCCAGACGTGCCCCATTTGGAACGCGCGTAGGCATGCCACGTCACCCCGTACACCCGCCTGTCGTAGAGGCCCGATGAGATCTTCCACACGGTACGATCGTTCTTGAGTGTCGGTGTACAGCACAAGGCTGAACTTTGTCGCTTCACTTAATGAAAGAGTTGGCAGGGTGACAGCTTAAGCACTAGATAGTACATCGCCGCGAACGGCTTCACCACGGCTGAGCGTAGCCGTTATCGCACTCGCTGATGAGCAAGCCATCGCGCGTCACGACGCTGAATCCAGGTTATCGAGAAAATAAAGTTCAGTGAAATAATTGTGGAATACATTCTAGTTCCCTCTACCTTTGATGGCAATTCGGTGTCTCGTGTACCGCGAGCGTGACCGCTCAGCCCAAGCGCAGCTAGCTCAGCAAAAGCCAATGATTGCGTGCTGGAGGCTGGGCGCTGATAAAAGAGGTCTCGCCAATAACACCCAAAAGACAAGGCTTTCGACCCCCCTCCCAAACGTCATTACTAGTGTATCCCCGCCGTGCCGCATAGCCGGCGTCAGCATCAACGCCAGAGCGTCATGCTGTGTCTCAAAACGAGCGTGCCGCTAGCGCACGGCAATGCCAAGACAAGACGGACGCGTCTGCCACTTTGTGGCGTCTCCCGTCGAGCTTCAGGGTTTTCCGCTTGAGAAGAGCCTGGGATCCACTAACAATGACGTCATTCGCAGGCCTTGTCTTCTAGGCAGTGTTGATCGAAACCCTATTGTGCCGGAACACGCGCAGGACCATCAGAGCAGACAAACCTGAACAGCTTAAGGCTAGACATTGGGAAGTTCGGGCGGACCAAATGAAGCGCATATCAGTTAAGGATTGTCCAAATAGCTAACTACAAGAACGCGTGAAGCGACATTTCACCGCTATATGAAGTGCGGCACTCCGCTTCCGTCTGTCCTTTTTGTCGGTGGGAAAGCTTACCTGAGAGTAGAAGGGGAGACAAAGGGGGAGGTGGCTCGTAGCCTTAGCTTGGAATGTCACCTTTGGTTGGGGGGCGGGTGGGGGGGTGTAAGAAAAAGTAAAAAGAAATCCACCAAGGTCCGCTTATGTCCTTCACTGAGGCCTAGGGCAAACGCATCGCTGGGTCCGGGCAGCGCACACTCATTGGCTGTCAGTCAATCGTTCAAGGCCTCCTCTGCTCGTCGAGTCCCGAAAACGGAAAAGGGAAAGATACGAGGGCGCGGCAAAACATATGCAGGCCACAGGCACGCCATTGGCAGGTGGCGTGTGACGTCAAGTCTCACGAGTACCGAAGTCAAAAATAAGCAGAGGAGGCGTGGAGGAAGCTGTCATGTTCAGCGTTAGTCATGTTTGCCTGGTACATGTTCAAACAGAAGACGGACTGCCGCACTTTCATTTCATATGGCAGAGAGGTGTCGCCTCACGCGTTCTGAAGTATCCTTGGTGGTCTCTCCATGACGACGGGCTGAGGTAGATATCGTAGACAAAGCGCAGATGAGGCATGGGAGCGGAATCGCGAGCGGAAGCAAAAATGACCCGAAAATCCTCCGAATCGTGCTCAGGAGGCGGGGCAGAAACGAATACGTCACAAAGACAGCGAATTACGCAAGCGCCGAGCTTCTGTCGTCATGACATACGTTACGCAAGAGCGTGTATACTCTCGACATTTTGCAGTGTTTATTCTCAAGGATTTGAAATAAAGCCCTGTAACTAATCCTAATTTTCTTCTACACAACCGAGAGAGGTTCGAGTATATTTATTATATATGATATTTTGTTATATTTGATCTGATAATCAAGCGCAGGGGAAAATTCATTCCCCTTTTCTCATGGAAATGCATTACAGGAAGTCAAGTTTATGCTGGTTGTTGAATATTTCAATTGGAAACCAAACACTAGCACCACATAAACCTCTAGCCTACGCATACTAGAGCACCCACCAACCTCCAACGATCTATAAATCAAGAGACTTGCATTACTTTTATGATTACGATTACAACCAATTGACTTCCTGAATCTTTTAATTTAAGGAAGCAATAAAAATAATAGATATGATATTTTTTTTATTTTTATTTGCGGAAAAATTTTTTTACTTTGTAGAAAAGAAAAGGAATTGTAGGTACCTAGTCTTGACACAGTTAGGCATTTTGAAGCAAAACTAAAATCCGAATGAAACATAAAAAACGTGCTACATACAGCATTATATACTGTTCCTGCAGTATAATAAAGGGAACATTTCGTAAACGTCGGGAAATAAATGACAATACCTAGTACCTACAGGTTCAAAAAGCGTACAAAATAAATAAACTGAGTAGCACAGAAAGAAACTACTTTTATTGGAACATCTACGTCTTCTTCAAGGCGGTGGCACCTCTGCATTTCTTAAATTTATCTTGACATGTTATTTTTTTATTTTATCGCAGAACTCGCAGAAGCACTTCCCTTTCCCGTCGCATACCTGCGTAAAAAATGCGTGTATTCGTGTGCGCTTTAATCAGATATGCAACCAAACACTGCACAGAATACTATCGCAACATCTATGCAAATACTCTCAATGTCAAGGCGCCAAATATGTACAGTAAATTATATATTTATCGAAATGACAACGACATGCCGGATTCCAATATAACTTTCAGCTCAAATTTAAAGTTTTACGACACTAATTTCTTGTAATCATTATAGCGCTAGTCAAACCTGACACATTTTTCACGTTGGTGCGCCATGTTAGGGACATATTTATGTCCATCCTTTTACATTTTAGTGAAAAACAACTCACCGCCCCAAAAGCGCATGGCATTCCTTCTGGCAGATTAACTTTTTCAAATCCACGGTTCTGAACCCATACATCCCCCCGTAGCACAGTTTTTGGTCCAGCAAGTCGATAAGTGCAAGTGACTGTGCAATCGCGAAGCGTCACTTCGACCTGAAAGAAAAGTAAAAAAAAAAAAAACATCACAACTTAGTTTTTTTGGTTGAGTAAAAACAAACATATAAAATCACTTACTACATTGGTCCCATAAAAATCCCATGGTTTGGAAATCGACTTGGTCCCTTCTTCAAGACCAATTGTTTTTCTTTTTTTTTTTGTCTTATATTTTTTTTCTATTGCATCATAGCCTTTTTATATAGGCAGACGGTGACGGGACGTTAAATCGACTTGCGTCTTCCTTTTCTAAGGCGCAGTGAGGGTCGGCGGGTAAATCACTCAGGCGCGTGCTTACCCCCCCCCCTTCCCCCCCTATAGGGGGGGAAGGGGGTAAGCACGCGCCAAAAATACTTTTTTTAATGAGCATCCGCAGACTGTGGCCTTAAAGTGGCGTAAACGAGCATCCGCAGACTGTGGCCTTGAAGTGGCGTAAACGTATACGTTTACGCCACTTCAAGGCCACAGTCTGCGGATGCTCATTAAAAAAAGTATTTTTTTGCCAGCAGTGTGCGAAGAAATGAAAGCGATAGCTGTAGAACGGTCATGAAATGCGGGTAGAATCCTGCCGTCACGTACCTGAGGGCGGAGGTAAGTTCAATTCTCATAGCCATCGTGGTTGGCGTTGTGGATGCCACTGACGACCGCCAAGAGTGCCCGGTGATTCGTGAGGTAAGTGGGTAAGCGCGGTGGAAGTTTCTAAACCCATGTAACCATTACCCGCAAAAACTAGATATTTCCAAGATGGGATATCGCATAACGCGGGGAATGTTTGGGAACAACTATTTGTTTGAAGCAGACGACAGGAAAATTCTCGCTTCGTCGCGTCGTTACTGGCGGGATGTCGGGGCTCCCCTCTCTTCTCTCTCTGCTCTGCGAGGCCGACGGGAAAACCCAACTTCCCTCTCCTCGCTCCAAGAGCGGAGAAAAGAAGGGTTCCTCCTTCCCCTTCTTCCCGCCAAGAGGGGAGAGAAGAAGAGTTATGCCATAGCGGCGACCTCAGCTAACGAGCTCGAAATATCTCCAAAGTTTCGCCCTCTATCGCTTTAAACATATTAACACCCACTGGTATCTGCACACTGTCGCCGCGAAAGGCACGGGGGGGAGGGGAATGACATCCGATGACATAAAGTAGTCATCGGTAGTTTTGCCCACTTCTACTGTCATTAAAATTGTACCTTTTGAGCGGTAACTCTTTATTCTAGTGAGACACCCTCCTCTAACTACTTACTGTAGAGCTTGAAATATGGCATTATGTGTGGCAATATTTAACGCTCCCATCACGTCCAGGAAAGCGGCAATTGTGATTTTGCATCGCGTTTATTTTACTCCTATACAATTGACAAGGCCAATAGCAGAGTCTATTGAGGTCCAGACTCCAGTACAATCATTCGTTACTTTCGGCTACGCATTTTGCTGCTCGAGATATCAGTCTAAGCGCCTATTAATATTTTTTAGTCAATTTTCTTAAACAACTAGCAACCGCTGCAGGATGGTACCATGAAAGATCCAATGGCGACTTCACGGGTTCCAGTAAAGGAACAATTCCTGCTCGTTTCCCTACATCAGGTACTTCCCCATTTGTTCGTGGTTGATTGAAAGCAAATAGCAGTAATTTTTAAATTGATAGCTTTACGGGTGACACTTTGCACGGATTTCGATGTCGGCGTTTGTACTTTACTCGTTGCAGCGGAGATGGAAAAACCCTTCTTTTCTCCCCTCACAGCGCACGCAGAGAGAAGTCAGGTGTTCCCATTGGCCGCACCGAGAGAAGAGGAAAGAGAAGGGAGTCTCGACTTATCAATCGTCGAAAGGGGTGCCCCAAACGGGATACTACAAAACGCACGACTCCGACAAATCGTGCAGCGCTCCGCTTCCGGTCGTTTTTTTTTTTTTTTTGCCGGGGGAAACTTACCGCCCGTTAAATCCGCGGGGGGGGATTCGGAGATTCGACGGGGAGAAGTTTTCCTCCGGCAGATTTGACGGGGGGAAGTTTTTCCCCGGCAAAGAAAAACGACCGGAAGCGGAGCGCTGCACGATTTGTTGGAGTCGTGCGTTTTGTGGTATCCTGTTTGGACATCTTTTAATGCGAGACGACGAAGAAACATGAACGCAGTTTCTTCCCCTGTCGTCTTCTAACGATAACTTCAAAACAAGTGTTTCAAAGATTACTCGCGTTACACAAAATTCCACTTTGGCGGTATCCAGTCGCTACGCTTAATGTTGGAGGGTTTTAGAAACTTCCAGCGGCGTTGGATTTCACTATAACATCACTACTTCTCGAACTCAACACGAAACGTAAAATGTGCTCTGCCATAACGTCCTATATACTGACAAAGCCTGGCAGATCGCCACCAGAAGCGGTCGCTGGATTGAAAAGGTGGAGCGGCAGGGAACGGATGAGAGGAGAGACACGTGACTGGCGCCCCGTTGCGGCGAGACGCCGAAACACATTTCTCTCGAGCGAAGAATTGTGTTTCGGGTCCTCGCCGCTGCAAAAGCTGTGCGCTGAAGTCCAGGTTCCCCGAGAAAATAACGCTTTGATGCTCTGTGCTACCAGATCCTCGCGCTTCAAATCTGCGACCGGGCACTCAAATCTGCGACCCCCCCCCCCCCCCCCTTCTCCGCTCATCGCTGAACGTCAACATTCACCACTCAACAACATCAAAAAAACCTGCGCCACCGCTTGCGTCCTCACTGCCGCAAACTCTTTTTAATGGAGCCGCAGTGCCAGGCCGCACTCCGTCCCAGGACAGAGCAGGGAGGGAACGGCAGGCTTTCGCCGCTCGCGACCGGCGTCGCACCCATGCGCACTGACCACCAACGAGAGGTCGCCCCTGACGAGCGTACACGGCGACGCGAGGATCCCAATTGTTTTTTCCCGCATCGCGTGTACGTGCTATACAGCTATCGCTTTTATTTATTCGCACAATGTGGGCCAAAAAAAGCATCCTTTTTCTAAAACCTGCACTTATCTGGATTAAAAGGTTTATGATATGCCATCGCACAGCCCATTATGCAATCTTCAGTCAAGCACGTGCATGCCCATCGATGCAGGTTTTGAACAAAGCACGCGTCACACGCGCGAATGCTGAATATAGTACCGCAGTCAGAAGCCCTTTTCTGCCCAAAACGCGACGCGTGCATGATAAAACTCTACTCATTACGAGCGATTGACCGGTTGACAGCACCGCTTCTCTGGGCTGGTGAAAAAGACGGAAGCCCTATCACCGGTAGAAACAAAACAAAAACTAAAAAAACCTTTTCGCACATTGGCTAATTTGTGTCGGTCCTATTGTTAATAGGCCTAGAAGTGACAGCCTTTACCTCCCTCACTGACGAATATCCAGGGAAATGCGCACGTCGTGTTTACTCTGCCCGTTGCCCGAACCAAATGATGGTGCTTGTTGACCTTACGATTGCGTGACTAATGAAACATCGGCGCGTTGCATCGCGTGTGTAAACATAGCTCGTCCAGCAGCTTCTGCACCGATCGAGGATAGATGGCACGCTCGTCGCGATATCTCTATGCGCCGACGCTTAAGACAAGATTCGACAAGTCGCTCATTCGGACAGTGTAGACTATTTGCAGCTCCAAATAAAGTCGTGTACCACCCATTGTAAGAAAAATATGTAGTGCAGAAAAGCAGGGAGCACCGCATCTCCGCGTTTGCAGCGAAAATGTGCGCGGCCTGACGGCAGAAATGTAAAGCAGGAGCATGTCCATTAAAGGCACGCCGTACTATTTGCTAATAGATGGAAATAAAATATAAGGCACTCTCAATGTAGCAAGCCTGGCGCGTCTGACCTCAACCGGTGCCAACTGAAGCTTGCGTTACGTCGGACTGTAGACGCGTCTTTGTAGTCTTGTAGGAAAGTACTCATTCGGCTCCCGACATCTTTCCTGCTATATGAGGTTGCCACGTATATATTCGTCCTTAAGGAGCGGTGCAACGATCTTCAATTGGAATGTTTTTCACTTTACACGAGCTTACTGGCACTGGTCGGATTCAAGGATACTCGCACGCTACGCTACTGGCCAAGAAACTCCTTTGTTGCGGTGTAATTTCCAGGACAAAAGCGCTCATTTTCATTCAATCTCTCCTTTGCAAAATTTGATGACGTAAAGTGGGGATCGCAGTACACCCCAATGACGATATTTGAATGCGGTTCATAGACTGAACCTAAGCATTGCGTTGGCACTCGATTTGGGCTCGTGATAATTACTATAGCTCGAGTAGCATTCGGGTGTTGGCGCGTGTCCAATCGCTGCAACGACGACAATAGCCGAGTCATAACCATGTCTGGAACTCAGCGCGTGTCCTGTGCTTTGCCAACCCCAGCACGTGGCTATAATCAACATTGGCGGCATATAATCGGCTCCAAATCGCGTGGCCGCTTGTTCTGGCTGCGAGTTGAGGGGGTGAACGCTGCTCGTTTTTCTTTAATTTTTTCCTGGGACTTCTTTTGCGTGGGGTGAATAGCGAACGCGTGTTTTTTAGGTCATTGGCGTCAGGGGTCCGTTCTAAGCGGTATTTGCGCAAAGTACAAAAATCGTTGCATCGCCCCTTTAAGATAAAGGTTTGTGAGATTTGTACCAAGGGTGTAAATATATCAATAACATGTCACTGTCTTCTCGGTCACTTACCTCTTCTAGCGTACCAGCAGTATCGTTCTTGCAAAGATCCTCAATATTTTTTTCACAGCTCGGCGCCAAGTTTTGCGCCCCTATGATTGCTGTAAAAAATAATCACAAAATAAAAAAGACCAGCTTCAAATTATTTCAAGGGAGGTTTTAGCAACTTTCGCCAGTCAATATCAACGCCAATCCAAACATGTCAGACACACTATACAGGTGTAAGAATTAAGTTAATTATGAAGACAGTCGACCGAGTTAGTGTATATGGCGTAGTGATTTTACTTTCGGGCGTGGAACTTCAATGAGAAATGGAAGACTAGTTATGAGCAGCGATAACGGCCGATGCCGGCCGTAATAACTCGGTTTCACTTGCCCCCACGGAGCTCCGTGATAATGTGCCTACTGTACCAGAAGCTGATCAGATGAAGCGTGCAGCTCTTATGCATTGCGACATCGCTGGGTAAATGGGCCAGACTGAGGACTTTAGGAAGCTGCTCGAAAAAGCTGGGGTCTTCAGGGAACGGGGCGGTATAGGGCCGTATTTGAAGTTCCACTTCTGACTCTTCAATTTAAAGACAAATGCGGCAAAGCCTGAATCATAAGTATGGTGCTGCGCGAAGATGTCCACTTGACCGCCGCACCTCGGCGGAGTTATGGTTGTGGCTGTGCCGGGGAGAGTTCCTTTCCGCCATCACTTCCGCAGCACGGGGTATATTCGTAATTACTCTCCTTCCAAGTTAACCGAATGTCGCGCTATTCTGCATGACCGGGCCGAATGTGTTCGCTGTTACGGCCGATCCATGGGACAATATGTAGCTGACGACGAGAACAATTTGGTCATGAATGAACGTAAGGTGGAAAGCTTGGCAGCGCCAGCGAAGAAGTCTGAGAAATCCAACACGGCTGGCAAGGGTGACAAGCATGACACTGCAGCCTCGAAAGTGGGCGAGACTACACTAACGCAACCGTGGATTGCAGCAGCTCTTTCTCCGACAGTCGAGTGCCTTTCCGCAACTCCATGAGCCCAACTTCCCAGGTATAAATGTCAACGCGGCTTTAGCAGAGTGCCGCAATGAAAACCTCGCTGTGGCTTCGAGCTGCAGTGGCAGGTGACGTCGGGAAAGCGCAACGGCAACTAGTTCCGCTCGCCGTCACTGTAACACAGCGACAAACTGTCCAGTTGGCTACTCTGCACGACAGCCTCCCTTTACGACGCCGTGCGCTCTTCCTGGTTCTGAGACAACGTCTGAACTTCAAGAACCTGTGCGTGTGGCGACCATATATGTTCAGGGGCTCACAGACAGAAGGCAACAGCCGGTGGACCGTCTTTTACAAGGGCATGACCTCGACATAGTCGTGTTGCAAAAATCTAATCCGGAGAGTGAGGAGCAGACAAAGCGCATGGTGATTCTCCTTAGGGGAAGCTTGGGTTCCTTGTTTTACTTCAATTTTTTCTTCAAATTCGGGGTGTTTTTTTTTTTTTTTTAGTATATCTTTAATCATTTATTTGTGACTTTTCGGTGTGTATTCTGAGTACGTTAAAGGGACTCTGACAGGGTATTTATGCTCGGCGAGGTTTTTAGTTGTACATAGAGCCAAACTACCCAGAACAAAATTTGCAGCTCGAAATTCGGTGTTTTTTCGTCCGTAAACCGCCGATCAAGAATTGGCCGGTTTGGGTCGCGCTCACTCTCTTCTCCGTGGTCAAGGGCCGTTTTCCAAGGTTTAGACATAACCACCAAATTTAAGCGAAGTCGTGGATCATTGAAGGCCCACACTCACTATTAAAAAGAGAAAAAAAATTAAACCCATTTTTTGTGCTTTTTAAAAAGCTGCAAATACGTTAACTGAAAAAAAAAAAAAAAAGTTGCACACAGAACCGGTATAGCATTCTGTACGCTCACTGCGTAATTCACAACATGGCATCGTATCCTGTATCGTGGGACCAAACTCGCGGGCTGGACGGCGATGGCGGCGGACGACGGGCGTAGGACCCCTATTTCAGAACTGTCGTTCGCGGTACCGCCGAATTTATCTTCCTTAAAAAGAGAAATTTTTGAACCATCAAAACAATTAGGATGCATGCCGTACGACGCGCCCGACCACCAAGCTGATTTGCACGAAGACGTCGCCGAGTCGTCGCTCCTTCTCGTGGCTGAAGACATCGCTCGCGCAAACGTCAAGCACGAAGTGCGTACTTCGAGTTGTACGAGCATGCGTACGGTCTCTTTACTAGGTGCGAGTGTGGCCAATGCGTGGTGCTGCCCGACTTCGAGCCTGGGGAGTGCCAGCCGACCGGCTGCACTACTACAAACGAGGAGTTCCTCCTCGTCTGCCTGAACATTACGATGTTAAAACTATGGTACTTCGAACTCCATGAGAAAAGGCTGCCTATGCTCAAGGACATCCACGAGTATATGTTGTTAGGAAGTGGATATTCTGCCGGCAGCCGGCACAAACCGCGGATAAATTTTCCGGTAGTTGTCCCCTGTTGGGTTTCGTACAAAAACAAATTGTAAAAACGACTTCTTAAAGTTGGAGGTTAGCTCAGCAGAAAAGTGTCCGCTTCACACGTAGCGGACCCAAAGTTCGATCCACAGAGTAAGCATACTTAATTTTTTTTTTTTATTTTTTTTTTTTTTTTGCATGCATTGTGCGATATTTTCGCATTTCTTTTTTGTTTTACAAATATTACTGAAAAAAAAAATGTTGTGGACGAAACGTCGCTGAAGTAAATGGTATTTGACAACTGCGAACTCAATGCAGCAACATTCCACAAGGATCATATAAATCGGGTAGAGTTCGGTTTCTGAAAGGCCCGTTCACATTCTTGCGACCGAGTAAGACCGAGAGAGACCAGACCGGTTTTTAAGCCTCTTGCGACGTCTTAGGGCCAGCTCCGCATCCGGTCCTACGACGTCGCAAGAGGCTTCAAAACCGGTCTGGTCTCTCTCGGTCTTACTCGGTCGCAAGAGTGTGAACGGGCCTTAAGTGTTCTGCAGGAATCACAGCCAGCCCTTGGTCCCGATCCCGTTAATCCTTCGGAAACTTGTGCAGACACTGCCGCACAATGCCACTTCGGATGCAGGACATGTGAGGCAGCTGTTCACGCAACATCTTGGGAGCATTCTTTTCGGAGCCGATCAGAGGCATTCTCCCCGGGCACTTACTACTCATTTCCAACTCTTCAATGTACAAAACAAATAATATTGGAGGGCAGAACTTCGAGCGGAACAAACATAACTGCAAAGGAATCGCACGGCAACGGTAAACGTAACGCTGTCGTCTGCTGCTCGCGACCAAAAAAATAAAAAAAAGAGAACGCGAAAAAATTTAGTCGCACGGTCGGGTGTAGCCACGTGACTTCCAGCACACTCTCTTCCTCTATATTTCTCCGACTTCCGTGCGCAGGTTTTGGTTTCGGTATCGAGCAGTTGCGTTTAAATTTTAACATGAATTGGGTAGTATTCTGACACCATATTGAATTGCCTGGCGAAAAAATTTAGACGATTTTTTGGGGGTGTCAGTGTCCTTTTGATGGGAATTGGTGCTTATCGCAGCTTCTTTTGAGTCAACAAGAAAAGGGTGATATTTTCCGAACATCAGGGAACATCAAGATTACCCAAAGTTTTGGAAAAACGTCCGGCAACCAATAAGAAAAGGAAACGAGACGATGGCTATTCTTTTTGAAGAGAGAGCCAGCCTCAGAGGACAGCTGTGTTCTGGGTGAAGCCAAAAATAAATCTGTGGATAATGTCTTTCTGGGAAGCGATCTTTTTCATGTTCAAACAAAGCCACTATTCGCAATTAATTTTGCCTTTTCCCAAATGAAAAAAAAAAAAAAAAAACGACTCTGCTGTTCGTTTTTTGAGTGGATTGATATTTAACAAAACACGACATCCTAGCCGTAATGGATGCGTCAGTCATGTTGCTCGAAATTAAGTCGAGTTTGTCTCGTCAAATTGGCAGAATCTAAGGGCCAGGGGTCGAACAGTCACGACGTGGGCCTTTGTGCGTGCGAATTGTACGTGATTTTGCCGATGGAAGAAAATACCTTTTTGAATTAATCTGATAATTTTTGTTTTTTACAGAACGCATGCTTAGTTTACTGGGCGATATCAAGACCTACGGTGCATGAGTAATCGAGTACAACCCATTTCAGGGGTGTAACAACGCTGATTTTATTTCTAACTAATAAGTTCGGCCTAGGTGATATTGACGATAATTTCGGTGACATGCAAAGTATTCAATTTAATCATTCTCTAGGATGCGGTCATGCCCATTTAGGCACAGATCATAGCTTTTTGCTGTGAACACTCTTTGTTAAAGAATAAAGTAAGAAACAAAGAATAATTTAGGCAACTTGACCGATGCATAAAGTGGGGCAATGACGTTACGTCATTTATACGTCAATTCAGTTTCACCGCCAAATTTAGTAGAAAAATTACGTATTGTGGCTTAAACACTAATTCAATTTGCCCGCTAAACACTATTTTGCGGGGAAATTATTGTGACAAAGTTACGACGCCTGTACACCAGTTCAGCTTCCCGTTAAAGTTAGTGGGCAATTTAAGTCACGTGGCCAAGTCATTTCTTTCGATAGATATAGCGAAAGATTTACATCACATGAGCTAAACAGGAATTTAGTTTCCTGCTAAATTTAGAGGGGAAAATCGACGCCCCATGACCTATAGAGTTCAGTTGTTTTTTTTTTTTTGCTATATTTAGCGGGGAAACAAACGTATTAAAACTTGGGTTTGGGCTAGTTGGTCCATTACTGAATAAAAGGTTAAAAAGCGCGAACAAACGAGGACAATAAAGAAACACGGACGACAGGACAGGCGCTTCACTCTCAACTGGTTTTTATTAACACCATTGTCACCTATATATACACATTGCCCAAACCACATCGAATTCAATCGCAACAATTAGAGCCAACCTTCCAGAAACACCATCTCACTCTGGAGCAAATACAAAGACGGAGCGCTGACGCAATTGTTTTTTTCCTTTTTAGAGCGCAGCTCTTAGGGGCCCGTTTCCGGCTTGAGCGGCGTCGCCGTCGCCGTCGCCGTCGGCGTAACCGCGCGGTGCATCATGG